TTTGGATGAGGATTATTAAGTGTAATTTAGTAAAAATATTTAAGAGCAATTGGTACTTTTATATGTTATATGAGTTGTCTGTTTTAAACATTGCTTATATTTTAGGTAACGGCGCCATCAGAAGAAATTTATAGATCGTCTATTGCTCTAACTAATTTAGATAGTTTTTTTTTTTATATTTGAACCCTATTAAAGGACAACCTTACGGCCAATTGTGATATTGCAGATATTTTCCAAAGGCCTTTTTATTATTATTGTTAGAAATATAGCACGTTCTGTATTTTCAAGTAAAAATAGAAGTCATTACTTGATATCAAGCTATCCGAAGCGGCAACCGAGACTGGCGATGAAAATTCTAGAACTCTTACTACGAAGCCACGGGAAGGCCTCCGTAAAAAATTTAATAATATAATTTTTACAGAACTTTCATACGTTTTATAAACTGTTTCTAAAATCGTTTTTACCTATCGATTGTAACTATTTTAGATAGATTTTCATTTATTTTTGAGCCCTATTAGAAGATAAACCCACAGCTTTCTAATTGTGGTATTGCAGATATCACCCAAAAAACCTTTTACACTTAAAAAATAGTGCCGTCTGTATTTTCAAGAAAAACCGGAATTATTACTTGATATCAGGCTATCCGAGGCGAAAATATGATTCTTTCAGAACTTTTATATATTCTATAAGCTGTTTTGAAAATTGCTTATTTTTTTAAGTAACAAATCTATAGAAAGCTATCTAATATTGTTTGTAACTATTTTAGATAAATTTTTATTTATTTCTGAACCCTGTTGAAAACAAACTCACGGCTGTATAATTGTGATATTCCAGATGTACCCCATAGGGTTTTTTACATTTGGAAATATATAGCTGCCTATATTTTCAAGTGAAAACTCAAATCATTACTTGATATCAGGTTATCCGAGCCGGAAATCAATACTGGAAATTCCAGAGCGATGGAAATTCCATAGCTCTCACTACGAAGCCACGGAAAGCCCACCGTGAAAAATTCAATTATATAATTTTTAAGAACCTCTATGTGTTTTATAAGCTGTTTCTAAAATTGCTTATTTTTTAAGTAACAGCGCTGTAGAAGGTTATCTATCGATTGTAACTAGTTCAGATAGATTTTTATTTATTTCTGAACTCTATTAGAAGACAAACCCATGGCTTTCTAATTGTGATATTGCAGATATTTTCCAAAGAACCTTTTACACTTAAAAATATGGTGCCGTATGTCTTTTCACATAGTAGTAGTTTCAAGTAAAAACCGAAATTATTACTTGATATCAGGCTATCCGAGGCGAAAATATGATTCTTTCAGAACTTTTATATGTTCTATAAGCTGTTTTGAAAATTGCTTATTTTTTAAGCAACAAAGCTATAGAAGGCTATCTAATATTGATTGTAACTATTTCAGATAGAATTTTTTTTTTATTTTTGAACCTATTATTATATTCTATAAGCTGTTTTGATAATCGCTTATTTTTTTAGTAACAAAGCTGTAGAATTCTATCTATCGATACTAACTACTTCTGATAGATTTTTATTTGTTTCTGAACCCTATTAGAAGACAAACCCACCGCTCCCATTGCATTGTGATTTTGCAGATATATCCCGAAGGGCCTTTTATACTTAGAAATATTGCATACTACATTTTCAAGCAAAAACCGAAGTCACTACTTGATATCAGGCTATCCGAGCCGGAAATCAAAACTAGCGATGGAAATTCCAGAGCTCTTACTACGAAGCCACGGAAAGCCTCCTTAAAAAATTAAATTATTTGATTTTTTTTATTATGATAAAAAATAATTTACATCTTTGTTATGCCTCTCGGTCTATTAACTATCCTTAATAGCGATTTAACGCACTCTTGTTTGAATTTCCGTGTTCGTGCTGAATAAATCTTACCGGGAAGAATAAATATGTAGAAATGTATGTAATAAATACATACTATAATTTATGTAATATTACCAGTTCACTGTACGTGCAATCGTATAAATATTGCTTGAAATTGCTTACTAATATCCCAAGACTAAAATCTTATTGCAATTCCATGATAGCAGGCAATAAATTAATGTTAGTATAGACGTAAAATTATCTTAGTGGCAACTCATTTAATTCACAGGAAAATTGAAGAAATAATAACTTTAGAAGATGCTATCTCAGAGTTGATAGTAATAAAATAAATTAATTTATGATGATCTAATTATGATAACTTATATACGATCTTATATATTTATATATATATGTATATATATATATATATATATATATATATATATATTATATATATATATATATATAATTTAATAGATTGATATTCAAAATTTCCTAATTGTAAAATATTTTTAGCGTTTTTCCACTATATAATTTAATATCTTTTGTAATGTTAATCATTTCTTGCAATTTTATTCAGATATAAAATAAGGATTCGAAGTTGACAAAGAAAAAACAATTTAAGTTCATTTGTTTTAATTATATGAACTGCCATCAGTGAAGTCATTATATCAGTGAATTCTGCTACAAAGAGTACATTTTTATAAAAGTAAATTTAAAGACATTATTTAAAACGTAAATTTATTTATTTGATTTAACCAATTTTATTTCTTAAAATAACTCCATTTTAAACCTAATAAATTAGTAGTTCATACGAGATAATTATTTAACTTTCAATATAAAACGGCACTCGTAGTTTTCATTTTAAAAATTATGGAATGAATTTATATGGTCTTACTTCGACCTTACAACTTATTTAAAATAAATAATTTTATAATATACATATTTTTCTGCAATTTACTTTTTATTCTAAGTTCATCTTTTTATTAAGCATGCAAATTTTCCGTATGTTTTTAACTTCCCGTAGGGCAAGTTATAGTAATCGCAAAAAAATCGAAAATGAAAATTTTTATATATCTTTACGTTTCAGAGGTTTCTGAACATTTTGGCATACCTTAGAAAAAATGGATGTATGTGTGTGTGTGTGTGTGTGTGTGTGTGTGTGTATGTGTGTGTGTATGTGTGTGTGTATGTATGTATGTGTGTGTATGTATGTGCGGATACAAATTTTCGTCGACGATTTCGGGAACACGGATCAACCGATTTGAATAATTCAAAAACATTCGATCCGTATTGATAAGGAGACGTGCTGATTAGTTTTGGCAAAGGCAGGTCAGACCGTTCCGAAGATACGGGGCAAAAAGTTCCGAAAACGGTAACTCAGTTTTTAAGAGAACGGAGCGTCCGATTTTAATAATTCAAAAAATATTTTATTTGTATTGACAAGATGAAGAATCGATACAACTTTCATGAAGGTAGGTCCAGCGGTTTCGGAGATATAGAGGAAAAAGTAAAAAAATGAGCCATTTGGCGGTCAAAATGATCATTAGACATATGCACATCAAATTATCAGACATTTTATAGAGATTTTAACAATAAGTATACATTTTGTTAACATTCCTATCGGTTCCGTACCAATGCTTATGCGTTAGACAGCGACGCGGCGCTTACGCGCTTTATATTTTGTCCCTATGTAGTTAAAGCAGTACGATTGCTTTGAAAAAAAAGTTCAGATCTTCCACAATATGTCAAAATAAAGAAAAAAAAATTTTTTTCAAAAAAAAACAAATTTTTTAAAAAAAAAATTTTTTTTTAAATTTTTTTTTTTTCAAAAAAAAATAATTTTTTGTACAATTTATAGTTTCTCAAAAATCTTATTTTTTCAAAGTAATTTTTTTTCAAAAATGTTAATCGTTTTAAAAAAAAATAATAATTTTTGGTACGGGAAGTTCCAGCAATTTGCCTTAAGGCACGATGCCCTAATTGCCTTAAGACAGAATTCCACTTACAGCTAGTTGTATAATTAATATGAATATGTTTTTCTAGATTATTTTTCCAGATATTTTATCAAATACGGCTGTAAAGGCTAATTTTGTCGTCACTCAAATTCTGGTAAAAACTGTTGTTCGAAGAAATAGCAATTTATTTTTATCATGGGTTGTACGAACGTAACATTTTTTTCAATTTTTGTTTTTTATTTTAATTTTCTTAATGCGTAATGAAAAACTACATACAACTCTAAATTTTTATTATTTTATAATAGTCATTTTAGTAGTCCAATCATTTTTTATTTAGCTCGGTAATCGATCAATTAACTATTATAGCCTTTTTTGTGAATGTTTTTAATTGAAATTCGATCAAGATTTTTCTGAGCTTACAAAAAGCTTAAATTTATCCTCTCTATTCGCTGCAACATTTTAAAAACAATTCTTAGATATTGGCAACGAAATGATTACTACCTCCGATAAAATTAACTGATTTGCAGGCTTGTCCTTCAGTACAAATAATGAGGGACTGCTGACAATATATATTTCTCTTTTCGCTTGCAAATTCCGGAATTTATATGTATTTGGCATCCGAGTAAAAGGGTTAACTTGAAAAAAATAGTAGTAACACTTAGCGGCGTATTTACTAGAAATGAAATCAAGAATTTTTTTTGAAAATATAGATCTGATTATGATACAGAGTTTGCAATTACTTCTATTTAATTACTAAATAGTACTTCCATTTGGATTAATTGCATTCAGAAGTAAATAAAAACTGACCTGAGTTAGTAAGAGCAAATTATTGGATTATATTATTTAAAATAATATTTTTAGAATAACATTATTCACAACAGTTTATAAGATGCTACTTGCTCTGATTGCTGTTCAACAAAAATAATAATATATTACATAAAATTTATGCAACTTATTATAATGGTTGATAAACGTACTATGATCTATGCAGTATACTATATAATATTATACATAATACTGTTACAGTATACTATAAGCTGTTTTTGTGTATGACTTATGACCTAAGGTATTGATATGAGAAGCAACCCATCGGTTCATCCTTCTCCTATGTGTGGGGTTTTATATTAACTCTTATCTCTAATAGTGTACATATATTATTATCAAACGATTTTTTTATTCATCTCGAATATCTCGTTTCAGCACTCCGACATATGACTACGCTCCAAACTTGGACAAACAGTGGATTTTGCAACACACGAAACCGATGCTTCCAGTTCACAAACGATTCACAGATCTTCTGATGACCAAACGGCTGCAAACCCTTCAAAGTGTGGACGTGGCAGTAGATCGAATATGTCAGGTATAATATAACAAATATCTTTGATGAACTGATATCTTCATGTAATAGTTGTAAATTTTCGAATGAGAAGTCAATATTAGTAAGGTGACCATATTTCTTTAAGTCTAAACCAAGAGGGCAACTTTTAGTTATACAAATCCCTGGATCCCAGGAGGGAAGAGGCTTAATGCTAAATAATTTAAATATAATTTCAAAATAATAAATATTATTTAATGATAAAGTAAAAACGTTTTTTAATGAATCAATATATTTTAATCACAATTGCAAAATTTTAGTAAGAATTTTATTATTTGATTACAAATTATACTCTTCTTTTATCTATGATGTTATATTATAGCTTATATTTTTCAATCTGTTTTTTTTTTTCGATTGAGTCTTGTATGAAGTTTTGTTTAATTTGCTTCATAATTAACTTGAAAATTAGTACTTGTTGCTTTGTTGTCATAATTTTTGTTCATTTTCTTTGAAATTTAAAATAAAAGTTTGAATTTATTATTGTACTAAGGCTATTTCCACCTGCCTTTCGAATTTTGTACAATGATAAAGGGTCCGCCATATAACTTTTTTATTGGTAGCAATTTAGATTTTTTTGACAGCCATTTAAAAGTTAGACAGCCATTTCAATGAAATTATTTTCGATTATTAACCAGAAGGATTGCACTTTCAAATAGAAAAGATTTAGATTGAGAAAATATTCAGTAGTTTATATATAGCATTTTCAAACAAAAAAAAGTTATCTGTCGGACCCTATATTTGATAGATAGTTATAATTTTTAACTCAATTGATTGTTATACTTTTTGAAAACCCGAGACAATCCGAGACAAATGATCTAAATCCGGGACAAATATTGCTTTTATTTAGAAAAACCCGGGTCATAAGGTGGAAATCCGGGACTGTCCCGCACAAACCGGGAGTTATGGTCACCTTAACATTAGTGTTAATTTATTAATTTTGTTTTTTCGGCGTTTCTAGTCATTTTGAACAGTTTGACTCGAAAGTGCAGGAACATGTTCCACATTTATGTTGCAGTGGCATCAAAAATATTTTTTGGTTTTTAATTTTTTTTACTCGATTTTTTTTATTATGAACTTATCAAGTATTTTACCTTATTATAAACCTGATAAAATGCTTAATTTTTGGTAGAACTTTCTAACACACTTTAGAACAATTTTTTTAAGGAGAGCAGCCTCTGAAAGTCGATCAATTTTGAAAATTTGAAATCCAAGCTCAACAAAATGTCTCAACCATTACAATTTTAAAGTTTAAATAAACAAAAATAACAGAAATTAACCACAATGACCGAAAAATGGTCTGAGTTTGACTAAAGCTCTGGGTTGCACTTGAAAGCTCATAATATTCAAATTATGTGAGGTTTTTTTTCACGATGGCTATGACCAATACTATCACCTATTTTACTTAACGTTGAGTTCCAACACACCTTATATATTTAAATATTTCTTATTAAACTTGAATTTTGATAGATATTAAAATCACATGTTAAATTATTTATTGAAATATTGGTAACCAGCATCCGGAACCCACAGATTTTTATTTTGACCAACCAGTTTTACATTTGATTATTTATTGAAACAACATTTATCTATGTCTTAACATTAATTTATAAGCTGATGATTAAAGTATTTAACACCGCTTGTTTTATAGTTCATAAATCGGCACTCCATAACTTCTTTTAGATTTATGGATATATGCTACTCACACAAGGGCCAACAGTATAATAATTTCTCTTGGTTTATGCATTTTACTAATGAATAACAAATGAGATCAATAAAAATTCAAAAATTAATATTATGCAGTAAAAATAAATTGACTGCGGCATTTCTTTGTGTAAAAGATCAGAATAGAAAACTTATGTATTCTGGAGCCTATAGTTTATATAGCAATTTCGATGTTATTTTAAGCGCACATTTATGTAAAAAATTGTTTATAATTATTCATTGACCTCTTTATCAGATTATTATTTGCAAACTTATTATTTTTAATTTTAATGTAAAAAATCTCGGGAAATAATGTTTAACTTTATTAATAAATGCAATAACGATTTCTATGTAAACATTAAACTGTAACTAAACATTTCCAACCTTATATTTGACTATTTATAAATATTTATCCTGAATCATACTTTAATGAAATTAATTCTAGTGATCGTTGCTTATGAAAAATATTTCCAAGAAATAATCGTCGGATGCACCTTTTTGAACACTTAAAAATTTCAATCAAGAAAAACATCATTATAGTTATCATGTTTGCTTTTTAACCAATCTTAATTGTTGATGAAAATTGTATATATATACGAGGTCTGTTCAAAAAGTACCCGGAATTTACGTTTTTTCAAAAAAATATTTATTTATTCGTCTACATTAATGTGGTCCCCTTCAAAGTAGTCCCCCCCAGATATAATACACTTATGCCAGCGTTTTTTCCAATTTTCGAAGCACCCTTGATATTCACTTTTTGATATGTCCTTGAGCACTCTCAGCGATTTTCTTCAATCGAGGAAAACCGCCGTCCTTTCATGGGTCTCTTCAACTTTGGGAATAGGAAAAAGTCACACGGAGCCATATCTGGTGAATTTTTGCACTTTGCAACACTTTATTTCATTTTTTACGCAAAATTTAATACAAATTCTTTGACTTTTCAATTCTTCCATTGTAAAAATCGCCGAGCTCAGAAAAACACGTCGAACCTTAGCGACTACCACAGACAAAGTAAACAGTGAATATAGCTGAAAATTTCATCATACTTTAGGGGCATGTATACCAACACAATAAAAAAAAATTTTGACAATCAGACACTCCAGACCCGCGAAATTTAATTATTAGTAATTCCGGGTACTTTTTGAACACACCTCGTATATATAAATAAGGATATAGCAGAAGTAGAGAAATTGGTATTTGAATTGTATATATACACATTTTTATTACATTTATTTATGTAACGCTCATGGCAATGATACAATATGAAATATATCTTTCAGTTTGCAAAGTATAAATCAGAGATAAAAAAATGAGGGAAAAAAATCTAGATACCAATTAATACTAGAAATATACAGCACATTAAACTACAAATTACTATTTGTAACTGATAAGTTTAAAGATAATTTTCCTTAGCTATACTTCTAATCATGTTTATTGTCCGAATATACATTTTGCTACTATTTTTTTGCACTTTTTGCTCCGTATCTCCGAAACTGCTGCCTTCGCCAAAAACTAATCAACGCGTCTCTTCATCAATACAAATCGAATGTTTTTTTGAATCATTCAAATCGGTTGATCCGTGTTCCCTAAATCGTGGATAAAAATTTGTATCCTGCTCACACACACATTTATTTTTTCTAAGGTATGAAAAATTGTTCAGAAGATATTATAACGTAGAGATGAGCAACAATTACTATAATTTAAATTTACGCTATTGGAAGATAAAATAGCGTTTTATTATAGCACAAATAGCATAGATTTATTATTACGCAAACGCTTAATCTTTCCGTCTTCTTGCTATTAGTTCCACGATAATTATAACGACGTTAATAAATGTGTTTCATCAACATTTCCAGGAACTCCGGGCTTTGGGAGAACTGGACAACACATACATCGTGTACACTTCCGACCACGGCTATCACTTAGGCCAGTTCGGGTTGATCAAAGGAAAGAAGTTCCCGTTCGAATTCGATGTTCGAGTTCCATTCTTGATCCGGGGGCCTGGCGTCGAACCCGGAACCGCGTAAGTACATTTAGCTCAATTGCATAAAATTGCTTTTCTCTACAATATAAACAATATTTGATTATTTATGGGGGTATTCTAGTGTAGAGGCATGATTTTCAGGTCATTTTTAAATCATCGCAAAAAACATGCAATCATTTTTTTACTATTTTATAATTTATTCATTAACTTTACAAGTGTACAAAAAAAAAATAAAATAAAATAAAGTTAATAATTTCTAAAATTATTAGTGGTTGAAGTGAGAAGTCTCGAAAAGTTGACAAACATTTGAACTATTTGCATACAAACTTCTAATGCTAAGTTTCAGATTATTTACTAAAAATGCAATATTTATTTAGGCATTACAAAATATTTTTTGATAATTCAAAAATTTCGTATCGGATAACGCTTTGATAAATACCAAATTTATTAAATATTATTATGCCTTTTCATCAATTTAAAAAATTTGATGAATTCAAGAAACCGTGATCTATTATTTGTTCACGATAAAAAAAAATATATCAAAAAAATGTTATTAGAACGAAGATATGTCTCATATGGTTCTGATTATTTACACTTTATTTTATAACATTAATTTAGATATGTAGTAATACCTATAACTATTTATTATGGATAAAATGCTTAATCGATCTTAACAGGAACTTTCAAATATAATTTTGAATAATTTCTATAAAGTCTGCTTTAAATTCTTGAGAGCTACTAATTTACACGTACTTTATATGTTTTTACTATGATTATTAAAATTTACACCAAATTCTTTGTCTAATTTTAGTAATGCTAGAATTGAATTTCTCAAACTAAAACTTTAACTAGAAAACGTGAAAACGTATATAAATTTGTCATGAGGCATTAACTATTTATTCTTAGATGAAAAAATGCATAAAAATCAATAGTAAACTAATTATTTTTAAAGAATTTGAGCATAGTAGCGACAGACATAGTAGAGAAACGTGTATAGTTCACATCGACGTTTCTGTAAAATTAATTTTACATATGCCAACTGCTCAATATGCATAAATATATTAGATGCATAATACTCGTATATTCATCATCGGTAAAAGCAATTAAATTTTCGAATTCCTAGTCGTACACAGACACATAATCTTAATTGATCATGTCAATAACTCAATAAAATATATTATGAAACAGAAAAAATAGTACATAGTAGCAAATATTCTGAAATTAATTGATTGCACTACAAAATTTAATGAAAGTACTTTCTGTTATGTTTATCGAGAAAAGTAATAATAAAATAGTCTGAGTAATATTTATTTATATATTCAATCGTATTTTTTATTATAGTTAAGTGCATATTTTCATATATTGAATGCATAGAATTTTATCAAATGCTTAGAAAATGCAGGAACGTATAATTAAATGATTAATAGCTTAAACGCGTCTTAATAAAACAATAATGGTCTTGAAGATGTATTTAATGCAAACGATTGTTTAGTTAATATATATGTTTTTATTGTTTTTATAATGACAATCAATAATAAAATTGTTACGTGTATGATTGCACTAAATTTAATCTAATGTTTAGAGAATGTAGTAGTGAAGACTGGGTATGATGGGGCCACTTTTTTTATTTAGCAGTTAACTGAAAGAAAAATGAATTAATTGGTAATTTGAACATTTGTCTACATAGGAATACTGAAATACTATTCTTAAATACGAGTCATAAAATCAAATCATACAAGTAAAGGGCGAGTGTCCTTTTTCTTTTGTTTTTTGATTTAGTTAAGTTAGATATTTTATTTATCGGAAGAATAAAGATAAAACATCTTTACCCTAGAAGAACAAGTAGTATATATCACAACCGTACACTGCAAATGTTGTTGTGTGAATCAAAACACAAAAACGTATTAAAAACCATAAAAAAGCGCGACATCATACACATAAGGGTGTGGTATTGCATAAAGGATGTTGTTTAATACGGCGATCGTTTAAATTATCGCTCCAGGCGTGTAGAGATACATCCATACGGCGTGTAAACAGTTACGTCAAGTGCGTCAAGTCGAATTCTAACCCCACTTTTTGAGGATTTGTTGATGACAGATGCTTAAGTGCGGAATTTGTGAATGTTATTATCAATTAAAATAGAGCGTATTAAATAATAATTTATTTGTAATAAACAATTTGGTTCAGCTTTTAATGAATACATGAGTATGGAATCTTCGAAGAAATTTATAGAATGTTGTATTGAAATGAAAAAGTGAAATGGTAAGTATCAGTTTTAGAATTTATTAATGAACTGAATTATTCAATATTTTTATTGTAAAATTAATTACAGATGGATGAAATGATTCCATTGAAATTGCTTCTGAGAACTGTGACTTGAAAATTTAATTTCTCTTCAGATGCAAAGGTTCTTAGTTTTGAGGTTAGTTTGAGGTTGAAAATGTAATTCTCAATTTGTACGATGTGTCTTAATTAATTTATCATTATATTTTCAGATATGAGGAAAATAGATCAAACAATCAAATTAAAATGAAAGATTTACAGAAATTCATTAAATACATTAAAGGCAGGAATGTATCACAAGTAGAAAATTTATTCAGAATTACTGAGTGATCGAAGGCCCTAACTGGAAAATAGGTTCAACGAATAATTGGTATAACGAATATTGGTATAATAAATAAATTTTCTTCACTCGAACATAGTGAAATGACAATATTTTTTTAGTGTTGTACTATATTTTATTTTATTTCATTTTAGGTGTTTTAGAGGTTTTGGATTCAAAAAGTTTAGATGGAAATCTTTTGATAAATACAATATGACATGATTGAAAATCTCACGAATGCATTCTCTATAGAAAGTAAGAATGCGAAAGTAACTTTTATCTCATTTCATTGAAGAAAACAACTACAAATTTGGCAATAAAAAAGTTAATTATTAAAAGAGTAATGCATTTTTTTTGGATGGTGATGGTTTACACTACACATGAAATTATATCTCGAGCTATCATTGTAACGGATGACAAAATTAAGATGGAAATTAATAATCGGATAATAGATTTTGGATGCTACTTTGTATGGCACAGATCTTAACCCTATGCTTTTTCAAATGCATTAAAATATATTGAATAGAAGCACAAGACCTGAAAGCATAGAAGCAGAATTTTGAAAGAAAATTCATAAAAGTGAATAAAAAATGATTAGTGTTAATAAAACTGTAATGAAAATAATAAACAGAGGAGCAAAAGGAATCATTGATTTGTTGTGCTCTCATACGATGGACCTGTTTTCGGCCAAACTACTATTAATTATCATTATATTGAATTTGAAATATTGGGAACAGTAACAAATAATAAAACTTTAACATTGATGAATTTGTGCACGCTATATAAAAAAGGCAGATAAACTATTTTAAATACATTTAGATAATTCTTTTCTAGGATTTTTGTTATTAATTATATTTCATGATAAATTTGTTCAATTTTTAGTTACATATAATTAATATTCACTAACTTAATTTCAAAAATAATTCATCAAAATTATTGTAACATAAAAAGTAACAATATTGGAATTTTTGTAAAATTCTGATTTTGATTTGGAATATAATAATACATATAACCTTATTATTTTATAATGTCTATTTATTTCAATAAAATATAGTCATTGTGGTACTACAAAGCGTTCTTCAAATAAGCATATGGTTAACACACCACGACGTCGCTTTCTCATGATAACACACCCGTCGGGGCGGTTTCACAGTATCACACCCGACCGGTGTGTTAGTCAAAAACACACCGAAAAGTAGATCAAAAGTGACTACATACAAATATCACCCCTTTTCGTGTTATTGTACGCGACATACGTTTGCAGTGAAGTTACCCTGTCATGGGGTAAAAAGGTCTAGATAACAATTTTTTGAAAGACATCAAAAAAAGCACATTTCTACAATGATGGAGTAGCTGGCAGTTTTACTGAACGTAGTCAGATAATTGTTTGTTTGAAATGTGTTATTTGTTGTGATATAATTGGTTTGCTGTTCATAATATAGTTTATATTTGCTCAAAGTCAAATTGGACCTTTGTGCCTCGCCCTGCTCTACATATATACTTATTATTAAATTTATTTCAATTCATCGAATGTTACTTGAAACTTTTCAAAAGCAGTCAAAGAAGAAATACTTAATTCATTTTCTATCTCTTCTCTCTCCTCGCAGAAATTTTGAAAATTTTGTATAAGTTCAGTAGTATTATTTACAATTGTACACAAAATCCTGAATCAAAAAGAATGTGAAAAACTTGAAACGTAATCAATAAGACAAGACCAAAAATGACTTGGATTGGATTATACCATTTTTTCTATAGAAAGTGTATAAAACTTCAAGTTTGATTGTATTGATAAAATATAGACAAACTCATGGGGTTATAGCATTCAAACAACACATCCTTATACACTTAAAGTTTTAATTTTTTTGATTCTCTAGAAATTGTTTAGAATATACCTTACTTAGCAGAATAACGTTTTTCGGGTCAGCTAGTATATATATATATATATATATATTAGAGCGGGCCAAATCATTATAGAAGTAAAATTAAGCGATATGGGCACCTTTTCATATGAAATATATGTGTTATTTAAATGAATTTTGACTTCAAAACCATATATCGCAAATAACTCTTTAGCCAGCGAAATTTTCAATAAAATACTGTTTTTAATAAGTTAATATATTAATTTAGGCATGTGAATAATTCAAATTGTGAGTTATATTTTGATTGAGAGTTTGTACGGGGGTTTTTAAATCGGGTTTAGTTTGTTGTTATTTATTTCCATCAGAGTGCGCTAGTATTTTTTATAATAATTCTCGAAGTTTCGAAAAGGATATATTAATGTGAAAAATTGGCATAAATCTTCATTCAGTTCTCCAGTTAGACGTGAAGTATCAATGGCGAATTCTTATTTAAATTCAGGCGCAAGTGCCAGTAATTTGAATCATATGCGCTCGCATGATCAAATTACATTTGGGGAAGCAAATGAATTTACTGGAGTAAATCTTCCGACAAGTATGGAAATTATCAGGTATTATTTTTATTTGGCCGAAGAATCAAAAAAACAAAATAAAATGTTTTTCATATAAAACATTTACTCCAAATGTGGTAACGAAATTGATTCAGACGTGGGAAAAATTGATATTCCAATTATGGAGAAACGAAGTATCGCTAGAAAATTGAACCGATTGATTGATAAATATAAAAGTACAAATAAAAGCAAGTCTACCCAAGCATCATTTCAGGAGTTTGTAGAATCCACGAAAGAATTATTTTATATTGGAAAATGCAAATGCGATTTGCGAAGATTACTGTGTTCTTGTGGATTGATCCCAAAACATTTACAAGCGTTTATGATGGATCAACATAATGAGAGGAAATCTACGATACCAGAATATATTATAAAAATTGAAGATGAAGTATCAGAATCTACAATAACTAGCAATATTACTCCAGGTGAGACATATACTCCAGATGTTGATTTTGATTTTAAAAGCAGTTCGGAAAGTTTACAAAATACTTCTCATATAAAACGTGGTCCATATAGTCGAAGATATAAGGCTCCAAGCTATGCCTTAATGTGCGACAGATTTGCAATTTCTGATAGAGTTGGGTCTGGCGTGGTGACGGCAATCCTGCGTGACCTGGGCATAACGGATGATTGGGGCAATCCTGTCATTATGGACAAAAATAAAAGCGTTCGCGAGAGGCAGAAAAATAGGCAAGCTCTACACAAACGATATGATTCTTCTGAATTAATAGCATTTTCATTCGACGGCCGAAAAAATGATTCTATTACCATGGAAAAAATCGATAAGAAGTTTCACCCACGAATGATTAAAGAAGCGCATTTAGTTATTTTAAAGGAACCGAATGGCCAATTGTTTGGGTTACACAAAATTGGAAAATGAAGATTCGGAAAGTAAAGTAATCAAATTGAACGAGTTTTTCGCCGATAAAGGAATAGCTCTCGATTCTTTGATAGGCATATGTTGCGATGGTGAACCAGCAAATACAGGCGTAAAAAATGGTATTTTACGTCGATTTGAAATTCAGTTAAACAGGCCACTGCATTGGTTTGTGTGTCTTCTCCACTTTAACGAACTTCCACTTCGCCATTTATTTAACTATTTGGAAAATCATTGACCACTGGACCACGAACAAAAACTGGAATATTAAGCAAACAAATTGAAACATGCGAAAATATACCGGTGAGTTATACATATTTACTATTTTTTAATACCCTATGTTCAAATTCAATATAATTTATTTTTTCCTATATACTTCCAGCCGGTAAAAGACTTTGAAACAATCCCACTTGAAAATTTGGCTGATATAAGTCCTGCTGAATCGACAACTGACTCAAGTTATTTAATAAAATAGCTAAAGCAGTTGCTTCTGGAGAAGTATCGACAGACTTAGCTAACATGAAACCAGGGCCATAGCACATTCCCGTTGGCTCACGAAGGCTAGTAGGTTACTTCGGTTATATGTAACTACTAATAAGCCTTCCAAAAATTTGAAAATTCTGGCAAACTACGTAATGAAAGTATATATTCCCATGTACTTTAACATTAAATATACAACTCTGTGGTGTATGGTAGTATATTATTTTATAAATTTATTAGCTGGACGCAATATTTAGACTCGAATTTGAGACAAATTGTGAACAATGTTGCTAAAGAAAACGCATACTATGCTCACTCAGAAAATATTTTATTAGCAATGTTGTTTGATAATAAAAGGAAATACGAGATTCAGATATAAGAAAAATCTTATATTACCGTAATAATGTGGAAGACCTGACGCAATTGAGAGATTACAAAACACCCGAAATAAATTTCGAATGCACCGACTATACTAATATGATAGATATGGATGATTATTCAAATATATCCGAACCAGCCTTTACGCTAAATATTCCTCATGAACATCTAGTACAATATCTACAAAGCAATGAGTGTCCATGGAGTGACCCTAAAATTCCGGTCCACATTCAGGGAACTGAGAGACATGTTCAATTACTGGCTAATGTATCAAAACGCGTATTAGAGCAAAATCGCGAAGGTGTTATGACAGCGACACTACTATCTCGTGAAAAGCATCCTCGACTGGAAAGCAAGCAAGATTTCAGATATTAATTTATTTAAATTGTATTAGCTAAATGTAAGAAATTTTATTTTAAATAAAAATGTAACTTAAAGAAATAAAAATGTTGTATTTAAACCATGTCATGTAAATAAATAATAGAATAAATATATGTCATTCCTAAAAACCCAAAAACAATATTTTTCTTCAAAAGTAGTTTGACCTGTTTTGATGCATGATTCTAGGTTAGGCTTACTCGCAAATGTCCCCTAACAGTTTACTTGATGTAGTCTGATGTACCCGTAAGTTACTGATTTCAAAAAGCCGGAAAATGTTTTTAACCTGTTTCGATGCATGATTCTAGGTTAGGCTTACTCGCAAATGTCCCCTAACAGTTTACTTGATGTAGTCTGATGTACCCGTAAGTTACTGATTTCAAAAAGCCGGAAAATGTTTTTAACCTGTTTCGATGCATGATTCTAGGTTAGGCTTACTCGCAAATGTCCCCTAACAGTTTACTTGATGTAGTCTGATGTACCCGTAAGTTACTGATTTCAAAAAGCCGGAAAATGTTTTTAACCTGTTTCGATGCATGATTCTAGGTTAGGCTTACTCGCAAATGTCCCCTAACAGTTTACTTGATGTAGTCTGATGTACCCGTAAGTTACTGATTTCAAAAAGCCGGAAAATGTTTTTAACCTGTTTTCGATGCATGATTCTAGGTTAGGCTTACTCGCAAATGTCCCCTAAAAGTTTACTTGATGTAGTCTGATGTACCCGTAAGTTACTGATTTCAAAAAGCCGGAAATGTTTTTAACCTGTTTCGATGCATGATTCTAGGTTAGGCTTACTCGCAAATGTCCCCTAAAGTTTACTTGATGTAGTCTGATGTACCCGTAAGTTACTGATTTCAAAAAGCCGGAAAATGTTTTTAACCTGTTTCGATGCATGATTCTAGGTTAGGCTTACTCGCAAATGTCCCCTAACAGTTTACTTGATGTAGTCTGAATGTACCCGTAAGTCACTGATTTCAAAAACGGGAAAGTTTTAACCTGTTTCGATGCATGATTCTAGGTTAGGCTTACTCGCAAAGGTCCCTAACAGTTTACTTGATGTAGTCTGATGTACCCGTAAGTCACTGATTTCAAAAAGCCGGAAAATGTTTTTAACCTGTTTCGATGCATGATTCTAGGTTAGGCTTACTCGCAAATGTCCCTTAAAAGTTTACTAGATGTAGTTTGAATTATATATAAATACTGAATATTTTGTTAAAAAGGAAATAAATACTGAATATTTTATTATAAAAGAATCGAAATATTTATAGGTTGGAAGTTACTAATTATTTAGAGTATATTACAAATAAATAAAAATAGCAACTTGCACGTATTTTGCACATTGACAACTTACACGTATTCTGAAAATTGACAACTTGCACGCATTATGCAAATTGACAACTTGCACGTATTTTACACATTGACAACTTGCACGCATTTTGCATTATAGATAACTTATACGTACTTTGCTTATTAGCAACTTGTACGCATTTCCAAGAAATTTAGCAAAAAACATTCTCCCTATTTAGAATTTAATGAATTATATCATATATTTATATTAAAAATTATGAAAAGTTTCTCTTAAAAACATATATTTCGTAAACTTACAAAATATTTATAACTATTCTCTTGACATTATGGTTATTGAAAGAAATAATAATATTTCTAGTATTGGAATTTGTCAATAAGTTTTGATTTACGTGCTGACTCACGCACGTTGTACAAAATAGCTAGGTAGATACCGAAGAAGTGTCACATGTACAGCATGTACAAGTTTTCGACTGTCAAGCCTACTGATTGTGGCATGCTGCAATGCGACGGCTTAAGGCTTATGCTCTAATAGCGTGGGTGACGTCAAGCCAACATGACGAATCCCCAAGCAAGGGCTGAGTCTCAACGGATCGCAGCGTGGTAACTGCTCTGCCGAGTACAACACCCCGCCAGGTACCTAAGTCGTTTACAAACGATTCCGAGTCTCTACATCGAACTAGTGACCCATGATCGACCGCTATAGGCAAGACAGATATAACGGACGGATATCGCCCCTGTCCAGCGCCCCATTCGGCTCTAAATATGGCTCGTGCGATAAACGGCGTGTGCCGAATACCTAATAAATCACATTGTATTGAGCCTTTCGACTCACGAGACTCTTAGAGATATCGTTGCTTACTTTGTCTAGAAAGGATACGGCCTTAGAGGCGTTCAGGCATAATCCCACGGATGGTAGCTTCGCACCACCGGCCGCTCGACCGAGTGCGTGAACCAAATGTCCGAACCTGCGGTTCCTCTCGTACTGAGCAGGATTACTATCGCAACGACGATTCATCAGTAGGGTAAAACTACCTGTCTCACGACGGTCTAAACCCAGCTCACGTTCCCTATTTGTGGGTGAACAATCCAACGCTTGGCGAATTCTGCTTCGCAATGATAGGAAGAGCCGACATCGAAGGATCAAAAAGCAACGTCGCTATGAACGCTTGGCTGCCACAAGCCAGTTATCCCTGTGGTAACTTTTCTGACACCTCTTGCTGAAAACTCTTCAAGCCAAAAGGATCGATAGGCCATGCTTTCGCAGTCCCTGTGCACACTGAACAACGGATCAAGCCAGCATTTGCCCTTTTGCTCTACGCGAGGTTTCTGTCCTCGCTGAGCTGGCCTTAGGACACCTGCGTTATTATTTGACAGATGTACCGCCCCAGTCAAACTCCCCGCCTAGCAGTTTCCTCGAATCGGATCACGCTAGAGTATTGTTGGCGATCGGCGCAATGGCTCACACCACTCTTATGCGCTTGGCTCTAGAAAACCGTGACAGTCGGAACGCAAGTTTTCGACGCACGCTTTCCGCCCAATCGAGTAGTAAAGAAACGATGAAAGTAGTGGTATTTCACCGACGATATTACTATCTCCCACTTATGCTACACCTTTCATGTCTCCTTACATGCCAGACTAGAGTCAAGCTCAACAGGGTCTTCTTTCCCCGCTAATTTTTCCAAGCCCGTTCCCTTGGCAGTGGTTTCGTCCTAGAAAGTAGATAGGGACAGTGGGAATCTCGTTAA